GTCCTCTAGCACTTATATAAGCTCTCTTTTAAATGCGCAGCTAAGTGCTAAGAAGTCTTATAGTGTCTATCTTTTAAAATCCTTTATATATAAACTTAGAAAAGTAGCACCCTTTTAAGTTATTATGTATAGATTAGTAATTATATAACTTATATATAATTAAGTTTATAAGCGTATTAAAGCTTTTAACATGTTAATCTTATTATTCTAGTACTCTAGGCTAGTCTTATTCTGTAGTGTTGCCTTTAATATCCCTATGTTCTTTATAAGTTATTTATATAATAGAAATTATTTCTTATTCTTTTTATTATTACGCAGAGTTGTTAGTTGCTAGTAAGATTTTATTATAATAGTATAGTTAATTACTTTTTTAGTAGATTGCGTAGGTACTGCTGTTGTCTAGCTGCTAGGTTGTGCAGCTTTAATAGCTTTAGTGTGCGCCTTGCACTATCTCCTCTTTACTTTGTACAGTAGCAGAGCTTGCTGTATAATGCAAAGGATTAATCTACTATTTTAAAAAATAGGTAACTAAATAAAGTACTTTATAAAGTGTAAGTGCTTTGTTGTTACTTTTTCTAAAAAATAAGTAATAAAATAAAGTGCCTTATAAGGTGTAGGGTTAATTGCTTGTGCAGTAGATTGCGTAGGTACTGCTGTTATTGTCTAGCTGCTAGGTTGTGCAGCTTTAATAGTTTTAGTGTGCGTCTTGCACTATCTCCTCTTTACTTTGTACAGTAGCAGAGCTTGCTGTATAATGCAAAGGATTAATCTGCTATCCTAAGGGATAGGTAACAAAACAAAGTACTTTGCAGAGCGTAGGTACTCTGTTATTACTCTTGCTAATTTGCAGTTAATTAAATTAACTACTAATTAGTGTTAAATAGGCTCTAACAGCTAGCTGCTTATAGTATAAGCACTTAAGTAGCAAGAGTAAGAGTGGTGTATAGTGTGCATAGTGTATAAGGTAGGTAAGGTAAGGGCAACATGTTTCTAGTTCTATTGCTTTTATCTTTTCTCTATACAAAGGAAAAGAGGGATATCTAGATGTTTGCGCACAGAGGTTTGCGCACAAGCATCATGTGACATAGATACGTGATCCTGCTCGTGCGCGATCGCTCGTATCCAGGCTGTGACGCTGCTGCTGCGTACGGACAAGTAACCTAGTTAGTGCTCTTATATATATACTTATAAATATATTTAATAGCTTTAATAGATGTGTAGACTTCTATATTAACATGTGTATTATATTACCTAGATAGGAATAGACTATAAAGAATAATCTACTAATTATTAACTATAACTTTATGTTATTTACACTTAACTATTTAGACTTAGCTATTATCTTACTAATAATAAATTAAATAACTATCTTTCTTTACTATAGTTTTTATAGTAAAATCCTTTAAAAATCTTTTTTAGTAAAAAGGCTACTCTAACCTAAAAAGCACTTATATATAGCTAGCAGATAGATTTAAGTTGCTATAAGAACTATGTACTATAAACTTTATAATAATATTAGTTAAAATACTATTAAGATTCTAAGACTATGTTAGAAGCTTAGCCTATATAACATAATTAATAAAATTAGGCAATAAAAGCTAATCTTTATTATTTAAGCGCATAAAAAGTAAGATTTAGGCATAAGAAAGTCTCTATTTTTAATACTTAATTATATAAATAATGCTAGTAAAGCAACTAAACACTTACTATAACTTAATATCTTTTATTAAGGAAATTTAGCTATAACTTAAATATTTAAGTAATTATATTAGGCTAATCTAAAGCACACTATAGTTGTTTAAGTTCTACTATTATCTTAAGCTACTTAAAATTTATAGTAAATATAGTAAATAAAGAAAAGTGTTTAAGCTTCTAGATAATAGCTATAAAATTCTAGTAACACTAAGATATAAACTAACTGCTGCTAATATAACTTAAAAGAAGTATAGTATAAATACTAATAAATTACACATTAAAATTATCCTAGTGTAAGGCATTACTAATGCCTTAATAAAGATCTGCTTAGAGTTTTAACTAATTATTATAAACTTAATAAAGCTTTTTTTATTTAACTTATACCTAGTAATCTATTATCTACTATTAGAATAATTAGCTATAGGTAAAAAGTACTACATTATAACTTCTCTAAGAAAATAGATAAAATTAATAAAATATAGTATTAGTAACATAGAGATTCTTCTAGACTTTATTAAAATTATATAGTGTAAGCCTAAAAAAGAATCTAGGCTAACTAGTAGAAAACATAAGGACATAATAAAAAAGCTAATAGGTAGAATAAAAAGAACAGACTTAAAAGTAGAATTAAGTAGAGTTGTTACTATTATAATAATGTAAAATTAAACTGCAACTTATACTCTTATTAAAATCTTTTATAATTAAGCTAGAAACTTTATTTAAAACTAGTAGATTTTTTTGTTGTTAGTTAGCACTAGCCTTAATAATAAGCTTTAATTAAGAGTTTATAATAATCTAAATATTCTAACTATTACGCCTAGCTCTTTTTAGTCTTTTGTAGGCAGTTTTATAAATAGAAATTTATAGATTATAGACATCTATGTCTGACATATGCATAAGCTTCTATAATAGAGTTAGGTCTAGGTTTAAATTCTAGTTGCGCTGCAGCTAAGTACTTAAAGTAAACTTTAAGTTATAGAAGTATAACTGCACGTAGCTAGTAGCAACCCTCTAAGTAGGCTCTAATAAACTTTATAAGTAGTAAAGTTCCCCTATAATCTAAAATATTCTAATGCTATTTCTACACACGTTGCAATTTATAGTAGTGTAGTTAGTAAAAGTAAAGGCTAGAAAAGTGTTATACATATAAATTGTTGCGTACAGCTATCTATCTATATATATCCTTCTACTGTGCTAGCTAGGAGGTTAACCTTTTAGTAAACACAACAGTTATAAGCCTAGTTTACAGCGTAGTGTAGATAGTTAGCGCTTAAAAATTTGCGCACCCCTGCTCTACTAATAGGATCGCATTATTCTAGAGCACTGCGTGTTTAATTCCTACGCTTAGCAAAGAGCATTTAGGCAGTGCGCCTATTACAGAGGCTACCTTGTATTTAGATCTGTCTCTAACTTCTATTGCTTAGGCTAGTGTCACGATTATGCACGAGTAAGGTTATAGAGCTTCGCGGAGGTCTAGTTCAATTACTACGTGAGGTATCATGGTAGGTACAAGACGTTGTGTAAGGAACAGGAAAGTTCAGGAGGAAATTAGCAATTAAATACTTAGCTTAGAAGTCTAAGCACTTTAGGTATAAATTAAGCCTATTCTAGGTTTAGTTAGTGTTAAGGCGGTTTGTGCTTAAGTTCATGTCCGTGTTGTGTCGTGTTCGTGTCAGACGTGCACCGATAATACTCCGGTACGCGTCCAATACGGTTATGTCTGGGATCCGGGGAGGATACCGTGACAGCTAGGAAAAGTGTGTTAAAGTTGTTTTACTATGTTTTATCTCTCTTGTTCCATAGTTTAAGCTAGGGGGTGTGTCGCGTACAGCTATCTGTCTATATATATCCTTCTGCTGTGCTAGCTAGGAGGTTGACCTTTTAGCAAACGCAACATAAATATTATTATAAAAATATACACTTTTAGTATAAAAACTATCTAATAAACTTTAAATAATAACTAGCAGGTTTTAATAAAACTTTAAATAAATATCTTCTTAAAAGCAGCAGAACCTATATTTTAGCTAGCTAGTAGTAGACCTAGCTAAATATTTATTAATCTAATAATAAGCACTATATTTTATACACATAGCAGTAGGATTGCGCATTAGGCTAAGATTAATAAGCAAATAGTAGAGTACACCTATAATATATGCAGCTAGGCATAGTTCTTTAGTATTAATTAGATTAAGCTTAAGAAATATAAAAAGCTAAAAAGTAAATATAATTAAAGTATGTTAAAACATAGTAAACAGTAAAAACGTTAACTAAAGTTAAAAGTTTAGATAGATAAAGGGAAATAAAGGTGTAAAAGTTAGAGTAAACTAATTAATATTTAAGTAAATAAAAAAAAGTAAGTGTAAATGTTAAAAAAATTTAACTAATTAAAATAGAATTAAACATATTTAAATATAAAAAAGTAGAAGACATAGTTTATATCTATTAGTAATAGAAAGATTATTCTTTATAAGCATTATACTATACCTTTTATATTAGTAAGTTAAAATTAATTTTCTAAAAAGCATGTTATTTCCTCTAGGACAATTTAGCAATAATAAAAAAAATATAAATATAAATAAATAAATTTTTTATGCTGCTAATAATGTTTATATAAAGCACTATGTTAGTTAGTTATAAAGTTAGATAATAAGTAATAAGTTTAACATTTCTTACAGTAAGGCTAGAAAGACATACTAAGTCTAAGTAATAGTGTTAGCAGATATAACTAAGAAAAGGGGATAGTACTAAAATACAGACACTAACACACTAATTCTAGCTTAGCAACACCTTAAAACTATAAACAGTAACAAAGGGGTAAACTTTAGCCTACTAATAATAGAATATAGCATTATAATATTGCATTAAAACATCTAGAATATAGTAATAAACCTAGTAAAATATATTTATTTGCCTTAAAAATCTAGAATATTTATAAAAGTAGTAGAAAGTTTTATAAGCTAATTAGACATTAATCTCGCCCTTTTTTAAACTAATAAGAGAAAAGGCTTGGCAAGATGTACAGTGAATAATAGAGATATGCATCCGGTATTGGAAGGAGCGGATACGGCTTGTTACACAACGCCTTTACCGCTTGTTGAGACCAGGGCCCTGAACGGGGCGTCGGACTTCAGATATATTGGCGTGCATAGACCGCACTCGCGCCTGACATTTCAGCATGGTGGTCAGACATAACTGTTTGGGGAGAACTATGCCTCTCAGAAGCGACATCGTAAAAGCTCTCTAATCTGCACTTTAAGCATACGCTGAACGTTCAAAACCTAACATATTTGCAAAATTGTGATCCCATGGTTCAACTCAACATGTCTACAGTGTATGACTATTTGGTGGTCGGCGGTGGGACCGTCGGCTGCGTAATTGCCTCTCGCCTTTCCCATGCCGGCCACCGCGTGGCTCTCTTCGAGACGGGCCCAGTGAACTATTCGACCGAGATTATGAGCTCTTCTGGCGCGCCACTTCTACACGGCACTCCTGCCGAGTACAATTACAAGAGCACTCCACAAGCTGCGCTCGATAATCGTGAAGTCCCGAATTATGGCGGCAAACTCCTCTCCGGATCTAGTGGGGTCAATTACGGTCTATGGACTCGTGGTCACTCGTCTGATTACGAAGCTTGGGCTAAACACGTGGGGGACGAACGATGGAACTATGGCAACTTGCTCAAGTACTTCATGAAGACGGAGAACTATCAAGGTTCGAACGTCAGCAGCAAGGTACACGGATTTGATGGGCCGATTTCTGTGATTCATGGCACCAAAAAATATCCTCTGAGGACGGAAATCTTGAATGCACTCCAACAAAGTGGCCTCAAAGTCAATCCCGATGGAAACAGCGGAGACCCGTTTGGGATAAGCGAATTCACCGAGAATTGGAAGAACAACCAAAGGCAGCCTTCTGGCTTGGCCTACGATCTCTCCAAAACCGATGTATTTACCAACACCACTGTTGCACGAATTGACATCAATATCCACACCAAAACCGCTACGGGAGTCACTCTGCAGAATGGCCAGTCTATCAAAGCCTGCAAGGAGGTTATCCTAAGCTGCGGCGGGATCAGAACTCCGCAAGTTCTTATGCTGTCGGGTATCGGGCCGAAGGAGCACCTCCATTCTCTGGGAATAAGTAGCATTGCCGATCTTCCAGTCGGCAAAAATTTACATGACCACGTCTCTGGATCCCTGTTCTGGAAGCTCCGCAATCCGGAAAAGGGACTTGCGGTAGGGTCACCCCTTTTCAACAAGTCGGAATACTTCACGGGAACTGCAGTGGACTGGATCTCCACTATCACTATCCCCAATGATCTAATATCCGCCGCCGCCGCTGCTGACGGGACCAGTCTCCATAAGCTGTATGGCCCAGGTCCTCGCGCACATATCGAGTTCTTGACAGTTTATGCGCCTATTGCTGGTGGCGGTACGGAATACCGACTCCCATTCGATGGAACTCATATATCCACACCCACCCTCCTACTACTCCCCACTAGCCGTGGACAAGTCACTCTTGCTTCCACGAATGCTACGGATGATCCAATCATCGACCCGGAGTATTTGAGTACTGAGGTCGATCGCGCACTTTTGCGCGAGGGCATACGTGCAACTATACGAGCAATGGAAACCCCAGAAGGACAGAGCGTGGTTGAAGGAGAAAGCCCTCCACCAGGTTTCCCGCAACTCACAAGTGCGAGTACGGACGAGGAGATTGATTCTCGCCTTGCTCTTATGGGCTCTAGCTTCTATCAAAATGCCGGTACAGCGGCCATGGGCACTGTTGTGGACACCAAATGTAAGGTTAAAGGCATCAAACGTTTAAGAGTCAGTGATGCAAGTATTTTGCCACTACCTATAGCGTCACACTATCAGGCGGCAATGTATGCTATCGCAGAGGCGACGGCGGCCATGATCTTGGAGGAGGAGGACCCCAGCGCGTAGAGTAATTATGCATACACCTGTGTATGGGCTGCATATTTGGGTGTCGCAGAATAAAATGAGGTTACTAGGATTAAAATCTTGAATGCAAATGCAGTTTTGGTAATTGGAGGAAATTGAAAGTTATTGATTGAAGGAGGAAGAGATTGGCTAATAGGCCTAACTATACGGATCCGTACACACTAGCGCTAACCTCTCTCGTGATACAAATAAACGTCCACTAGGTAAAACTCCCACTGTCCAAGTCGCTGAGCTCCTACCGAGTGGCCAAAATCTCCATTTCCGCCAACTTTGCCTCCCCACTTGCCAAGATGAACTATGTTGCGAAATGCAAAGAAGAATAAGCGGAAACCACCGGCCAAAAATGCTGGCACTCTCTGAGGGAGCTGCGTGCACCATGTATTCGATGACCAACTACTTGAAATCACGCCAGGGATGCTCGGCCTGCGACCATTTTCGCGATATCCGCCGGCGTGCTACACGGGGCAGGTGTTCCAGTGCAACTCCCAAACAGGATGCTGTGCTAGAGCGTTTGAGAAGATTTACCGACATTCGGGTAGCACACACCCTCGTGGTGAGCATCACTAAACCGCGCCATGGAAGGATTTCTGTAGAGCGAACGTCTTTGCGTGGGATTTCGGACTCCGATATTGTGTCTATTCGGCTCTCTAATTCGCCAACCCGATAGCGTTAACGTTAGAATCTAACCTTAATAGTAATTTACTTATAACTATGGATCATAATGGTGATCCTGTGAAATGAAATAAAATTCTGTAGGATGAAGTGGTATTTGCACGCTTGATGCAACATTAGACCACGTAGGGAGTAGATAATGCAAGTTCTCCTTCGTCCAATTCTGACCGGTCTAATGGGATTGTACGTACATCGGGTTCAGAAGCAACTTCTAAGTTTAATTCAGATTCGCCAATTATATGATAATCCAGTCATTGGAACCTCCTGCTCTCATAATGAGTTCGAAAGAAGCCAGCATCTCGACCAACGCACACAAGATTCATCTCCAATCTCCCAGCCCCTGTACCGGTTGTGTGGTACCCACCATCGACATCGGACCCTACCTAAGTGATCCAACTTCTTCTGAGGCACGGCAATTGATTGATACAATCCGCGCGGCGTGCGTAAAGACAGGGTTTTTCCAAATAACAGGCCATGGAGTTTCAAGAGATCTACAGGATTCCGCTATTGACGCAGCCAAGGAATTTTTCGCGCTTCCTATTGAGGAGAAGGAGAAATTGGATATTGAAAAGAACATAGGCTTTAGGGGTTATGACAAGATTGGGACGCAATCCTACAGCGCATCCTCGGCACCGGATCTCAAAGAGGTGAGCCGTGCACACGCTCTAGCCTCGATAGGGTTTCGCATATTCTAAAGCCATTCAACTCATTCTAATCCAATGATAACAGAGTTTTTTTATTGGCACCGACATATCCATTGACGATCCACGTGTTCAAGCTGGCCGTATCCTAACCGGACCAAATGTCTGGCCGGACGATTCAATCTTGCACAAGTCTTGGTTTCGAGAGCCTGTGGAAATGTACTACGCCGCCGTGCGTGAACTTGGGTCGAGGGTTATGGAGATGATTGGGCAAAGCTTAACCTCGAATCCAGAGCAGTTCCACTCATTTCTTTCGAATCAGCCTGCTGTGCCTCTACGCCTTCTTCATTATCCTGTCGAGCCAAGGGGAACCCGCGATCCAGTTGGAGAGAAAGCCTCGCTGGAGAGCACTGAAAGGAAGATTGATCAATTCGGCTGCGGTGCACATACCGATTTCGGAGCTATCACACTGCTCCTGCAAGACCAAAATGCGGGTCTACAATTGTTCAGCCCAGAGACAAATGAATGGTTCACTATACCACCTCGCTCTGACACATACGTTGTGAACGTTGGCGACATGCTATCAAGCATTACAGGTGGGAAATACAAAAGCAGCTGGCACCGTGTCCTCAAACAGACGCAGCAAGATCGTTATTCCATTGCCCTCTTCATGCATGGGAATTTGGACTTTGTTTTAAACCCGATAAATGGAAGCAGCTGGAAGGAGCCGCTTACCGTAGAGCAGTATTTGCTGCAGCGTATAATGTCTACGTACTCGAAAGACAGAGTCACTAAGGTAAATGCGGCTTCAGCAGGGTTAGGTTGATAAGGTAGCAGCTTTGCAGTGCACACGCGGCAGTTCTGGTAGTAGAAGGGATCATGCCCACAAAAAAATGTCTTACAAAATTACTCTCTACTTGGGCAATCACGCATATACGCTCCCCCTTAGGGGGGGTTTGTTTCTAGCTTCATGCTAGATGATAATATAGCCACATACAAGGAGGCAAATTATACGCTCTCTGAATGGTACGGTAGATGCCAAGTACATATATAATCTATACTACGTAATCAATTACTTTGTCTCCACCGTAATCTCTCTAACCCTCAAGGGTGTCTCGCACGGCTCTCCATGTCCCCTGCTTTCACCCTTGAGGCATTTTCCACGGGCTGCAAGACAACTATCCATTTGGCTCAAACCCTTGTTATGATCAGGGGCTGGAAACCTGAACCGGGGGGGAGACTGTATTTATAGGGCGAACTAGTTATCAGCCATTCTCGAGCTGTCAGATCCCGGTCTTCGCTATCACCGCCATTGCCCTTGCTCACAACTGCCTTGTACTTACATCCAGTTACCTTATTATCACTAAATTCTGCCGACCTACAGCGCTACTAAGCCCGCTCAATATTTACCGTTGCATGGTACGCAGCAGCTCACCCCCCCTAAAGCTAGATCCTTCGCTAAACCGCTCTAGTAACACAGTAATGACTATTGAGATTTAGCTCGTTTAGGTAGCTTGACCATGCCATCACCCGCGGAACGAGGGGACCGATTCATGCCATCGATACTCGTTTTTGGGCCACAGACAGAGTTGCCTTCGAAAGAAACACTTGCACAGTTAAGGCAGGAACTCTGCGAAAGACCTGAATTATACAGCCTTCACCAGGCAATAAAGGAATTACCAAAATTTTGGCAAACGCTCACCGCCTTTGACGAAAGCTTGACCAACGTCCCGGGATCTAAGTACCTTGGTGACCTTCAACGCTGGTTATTCAATGGCGGTACTTTTCCACATCACGCCGACGCAATCCCTAATGTATTCGCCCTACCGATCACGCTCCTTCTTCAAATCACTCAATACGTTCGCTTTCTAAGCTGGTTTGATGTAGAGGACCCGCACTCCTCTGTGATTAAAGCTGTTCAAGCCGGTGGGATTCATGGCTATTGTGTTGGATTTCTCAGTGCCATTGCAGTTTCTGCATCCAAAACTGAGGCAGATATCGCGGCTTGGGCTGTCGTCAGCCTGCGTCTGGCCGTTTGCATAGGCGCGTATGTTGATCAAAATGGGGCCTATGCTGAACCAAAAAGCTGTGCTGCGGGCCTTACCGTTCGTTGGAAAGATGGGCATATTAATGGGAAAAAGGAGGTTATTGATCTTGTTCAAGCAAGTCCGAGTGTAAGTCTCCACGAGCTCCTTATCTAGATTCATAGGCCTAAATAACTCAAAAAATAGGCATACATATCCAGCATCAACGATAATGCCTGTGTTACCATCACGGTAAATGCTCACAGTCTTACAGACCTTACCGAGAAGTTCCATGCTAAAGGAATGCGGGTGAAGCCGACTCACGTGCAAGGCCGCTTTCATTCCACTATCTACTCTTCTGCTGTGGGCAGGCTTATGGATTTCTTTCTTCATCACCCTGAACTGCAGCTTCCAGATGTAGCTAAGATGAGGGCTCCAGTGCGATCAACCGTCACAGGCGACATCATTAATGACGGCTCATTTCTGCGTATTACGCTCGAAAACACACTGCTGAACGTTGCGGACTGGTACCAGACTCTTCGGGCAGCTACTGCTCAATTGCCCGATACGGGCAGTGTAATTGTGTATGCAGGATTTGGGAACCATATTCCTCCTTCTCTTGTACAAGCGTCGAATCTCCGAGTTTTGGCAATAGGCAATATAGAAGAACCAGACTCGAAGAGTACCACCAAACACTCTCGATGTAACGGTGCGACCAACGGCGTATTTTCGAACGATACCTACAAGTTCACGAACGGAATTCCACTAGAACCGCAAGCCAGAATCTCGGAGTATCCAGCTCACTCGATTGCCATCGTTGGCATGGCTGGCAGATTTCCTGGCGCAGACTCTCTAGATGAACTCTGGGACTTGTTGCGCTCAGGAAAGAGCATGGTCAAGCGCGCACCTTCCGACAGACTCGGACTCTCCGGACTTGAATGTAGTAAAGCCGGCAAAGAGTGGTGGGGCAACTTTCTCCGCAACCCCGATGCCTTTGACCACAAATTCTTCAAGAAGTCGTCGAGAGAGGCAGTTGCTTGGGATCCACAGCAGAGGATCCTACTCGAGGTTGTCTACGAGGCGTTAGAATCAGCGGGATATTTCAGTCCCTCGTCAAAATCGGAGCCGAATGATTACGGCTGCTACATCGGTGCTATCATGAACAACTACTACGATAATGTCTCTTGCAATCCTCCTACTGCTTATGCTACCGTGGGAACGTCACGTTGCTTCCTGAGTGGCTTCACGAGCCACAATTTTGGATGGACCGGACCGTCACTTACTATAGACACAGCTTGTTCGTCATCACTCGTTGCTATCAACACCGCATGCAGAGCTATATTGTCTGGAGAATGTTCCCGGGCAATAGCTGGTGGTACCAATGTTATCACCAGTCCATTTGACTATCAGAACCTTAACGCTGCTGGTTTCCTCAGCCCAAGCGGGCAATGCAAGCCGTTTGATGCAAGCGCTGACGGTTACTGCCGTGGAGAAGGGGTTTCCGTGGTTGTGCTCAAACCCTTGGCAACTGCTCTTGAGGAGAACCATAACATCCTTGGTGTTATTGTCGGATCGGCCGTGAATCAAAATCCAAACCATAGTCACATCACCGTACCGAATTCAGGAGCTCAGAGTAGCCTTTATCGAAAGGTGATGAGCTTCGCAGGCGTTGAACCCGAAGCTGTGTCCTATGTTGAGGCTCATGGCACTGGCACTAGCGTAGGTGACCCTGTGGAGTGCCAGAGCATCCGTGAAGCCTTTGGTGGTCCTTTAAGAGATAAAACTCTATATTTCTCCTCTATTAAGGGAAATATTGGTCACACTGAAGCCACTGCTGGTGTTTCAGGCCTCGTCAAGGTTCTTTTGATGATGCAACATGGGAAGATTCCTCCCCAAGCCAGCTATAACAGCCTGAACCCGAAAATCCCAGCCTTGGAACCAGATCGAATGGAAATCCCTAGAAGCTTACTTCCATGGACCTCTTCATCTCGGCTTGCTTGTGTTAACGGCTACGGTGCCGCAGGGAGCAATTCGGCGGTGATACTTCGGGAAAGGCCGGCTACGAACATGCAAACCTCAAAGACCAACATACAGGCCACTCAGCAGCCCTCACGGTACCCTCTATTCATTTCCGCTGGAGCGGAGAGCAGTCTTTCAATGTACTGTCAGAAGCTTATCGATTGGCTCAAGAACGTCAAGTCAAAAAGTACCACAGATATCCTGCCAAGAGATATGACGTTTAACCTAGCCGACAGAGCAAACCGCACACTTCCACATGTCCTCTCAACAGCTGTCACCGACCTGCATGACGTCGAACGCAAGCTTACAGCAGCAGTAGCAGGCACCACCACCATTAAAGTAGCGGATCCGAAGCCGATAATCCTCGTGTTCGGAGGTCAAGAAAGTGACTTCATCGGGCTTTCTGAAGAAGTCTATCATTCATCGGCGTTGTTCAGCTATCATCTTGACGCTTGCAATGAGGTACTCCTTTCACACGGAAATGACGGATTATATCCTGCGATCTTCCAGCGTAGCCGTATCGCAGACTTAGTCACTTTACATACCGCGCTGTTCTCCGTGCAGTATGCTTCCGCAAAATCCTGGATAGACTGCGGACTTGAAGTTGGTGCCGTCATCGGCCATAGCTTCGGTCAATTAACCGCGCTCTGTATCTCGGGTGTACTGTCACTTCCGGATGCATTGAAGCTAGTTGCAGGTAGAGCTACCATCATGCTAAGGTTCTGGGGCGATGAGCCAGGATCCATGCTATATTTGCATACAGTCCGCCAGAAGGTTGTGGAGATGCTGGATATGTTGAGCGCTATTTCGAGCGATGAATACGCCGAAGTGGCTTGTTACAACGGGCCCAAAAGCCATGTCGTTGTTGGATCTACTAGCGCCATAGGTGCGTTGGAGAAAATAATCGCAAATTCTCCATCTTTCCGGAATTCTGTCCGCACCGAAAGGTTAAAAGTCACACATGGATTCCATTCCAAGTTTACAGAGCCTTTGCTACCATACATCACTGCTTTGGCGAGGGAGCTTACATGGATGCGCCCCACGATACATCTCGAAACATGTGACGATACCTACACTGTCGCCGATCCGGATTTCCACGCGATAGCGGAGCATACAAGACGTCCGGTCTTCTTCCAACAGGCCGTCGAAAGGCTTAGAGAACGATATTCCCAAAGCACTTGGCTCGAAGCGGGTCGTGGGTCGTCTATAATCCAGCTTGTCAAAAACTCTTTAGAAGTTACACAAGGGCACCTGTTCTTGTCACCTCAGCTCACTATGTCAAATGCACAAGACTCACTCACTGATGTCACTATCGATTTATGGAAGGCTGGTTACTCTGTTCAGTATTGGCATTTCCATCGGCGTCAGAAATCTCAGTATCGATTTTTGAGCCTACCACCGTACCAATTCGAGAAAAGTCGTCATTGGCTCCAGTTCAAAGACCGAAGCGCTGAGAAAAAATCTACCGATATTGTTGAAGGAAAACCTGATGATGAGCTTTTGGCTTTCCTTCGATTCAGAGACGTCAACAGAACAGAGGCCATCTTCCGCATATCCTCGTCTAGCGATAGGTTCAAAGCAATACTGAGCGGCCACATCATGGCAGGCCAACGTCTTGCACCAGCATCACTTTACTTTGAGGTAGCTGCGCGTGCTGCATTGTTCCTTGTATCAGACAAAGAGGCGGTGACATACGTGCCAACTGTAGAGAATCTACACATAAACTCTCCGATAGGCCAGGACACTACTAAGGAGATATTGCTATATGTTAAGCGTATTGACGATATGCGTCCATTTTGGTCATTCTCGATAACAGTCGGGACGTTACCGACTGCTATGGGTCATGCAGTTGAGACCTTTGTACAGTCTACTGGAACAGTTTACCTTAGAAAACGCGGTGACTCCCGCCAAGCGCAGAAATTCAAACGTTTCGAATCTTTGACCGGCTTCCGCCGGTATCAAGAGATTATCAGCCACCCAGAAGCGGAAACAATGCAAGGTAATCACATCTACCGTGCATTCAGCCCCATAGTGCAATACAGCAAATCGTTCCAAGGGATTAAAAGTGTAGCTTGTGTGGGGATGGAAGCCGCGGGCAAAGTGTCAATTCATCTCGATTCAAATGATCCTGCTGATCAACGTCTTACTGATACCCCTATGATGGACAGCTTCATGCAACTTGCTGGGATGCTGGTGAACTACTTCAACAATTCTAGCCTTGAGGACTTTCGTGTATGCTTTCAGATAGAGCACATCGAGATCGGCGGGCAGTTTACTCCGGACGCGAAGAATTGGATCGTGTACTCAAATATGACAGAAGAAGACGATGAGGAAGCTTCATCCGATGCGTACGTTTTCGAGGCTGAAAGTAAGAAGATGGTCATGGCAGCGTTTGGCTTCCGCTTCTCAAGAATTCCTCGATCCTTGCTTGCTCGACTATTAAGGGGTGAGCCGGTAGAGGGGGCCGCTCGCCCTCCAGTTGATGCAGGTGAGCAACTTACCACAGAGGCCCGTACATTGTCTACAAAGAAACCTTCGAGTGCACGTAGAGAGCTTCTTCGAATACTGCATGACGTTACCGACATACCTCTGGAAAAACTGACAGATGAATCTACTCTCGAGGATCTTGGAATTGACTCTTTAGGAGCCACTGAAGTACTCAATGATATTCGCGCAGGGCTGGACCTTTCTATCGACCTTTCAACCTTTCTATTTTTCCCCAACATCCAGGCGATCGCGGCATACATCGACGAGACGCTAGGACTTAGCAGTGAAGACTCTCACGCTGATCAGCTAAGGACAAATTTCTCACAAAAGGATGTTCTGACTCCAAATGGCGATGGAGGCGATATAGATTCGGTTTCAACAAAGTCTACGTTAGCTCGCAAGGCACCATCGTCTATGAATCTATTAAGTACTCGTGTGATCATTTCCGCATACGATGCTTTCAGAGACATGAGATTCGGGTATGGTCAGATTGCCGCCCTAACCGGAGATTTGGATTTTTGGTCCTGTGCAGCGTTTCCAACAGAAAGTAGTACAATTAATACTTTTGCTCTACCTACAATTACATAAGGCAAACAAACGTAACTACATTTTTAACTATTATAATTTAATTAATAAGGCTTAAAAGTAAGTAGTATTATAATTAAGGTAGACTTTTTTAAGGTTGCAGTCTCTAACGCGCGTGAGGGCTAAGAGAGCATGTTTGTGCTACTATTTACATGTTAGTGTAGTACTAACTGTAGAGATTTTACTATATTACAGAGCAGTGTTATTTTACTAGTAGTTTTTACCTTAATTAACATCTTTATCTTATATTTCTTTATTATTTTTATTATCTTTATTATAGCTATGTTAAATTAGATTTAAAAGAGCTAACATAACCTATCTAACTAGGCCTAGGCTTTAAGCTTAGCCTTATCTCTAGCAGCTTATTACGCTAGTTTTTATTAACTTAAGAAGTTACACTCTTTACTCTCTTAGTTTTTATTTTATAAAGGGTCTTTGTTTTTTAGTGTTTTTAATACTTAATTTAAAAAGTTTTTTAAAAATTATTACTTTAACTCTAGCTAGGCCTTTCCTATTAAGTAAGATAATGTATTAGTAGTAAAGAAAAAGCTAGATGTAGAGCAGCTTAAATACTATGTAAAGCACCTTAGCTAGCTTTAAAAAGGGTGTAAATTATTAGCTGTTTAGTAGCATAGTGCTAACTTTTAGCATATAAATAATAATAGCGTAAAGGTAAAGATTTAGCTTTACTATTTTTATTACTCTTAAAGAGTGTGTAAAGCTAGTAAAATTATTAGTAGCTATTATTATATTATAGCTTATCTACTTAAGAACTACTAGATAAATGTTACTAGAGAGAAGCTTTTACCTAATAGTCCTTACTAGCTAGTAAACTCTTAAGAAGTAGTGTTAGTAGTAGGCTCTATAAAAGCTATAAGTTATAATTTATAGTAAAAAGAGTTATTATAAGCTGCTTTTATTAACTAGGTAATTCTCTAAAATATCTCTTTTCTTAATATATTATTAGCAGAACTTTAAAGCATTATTACTTAAAACTAGGGGGATCTTCTTAGCGCTTTTCTTATATTTTCTACTACTATTTTAAACTACGTACACATAGAGCTTATATAGTAAAAGGAGAAGATTTAAATAATACTAAAGTTAGCCTACTTAAAGATTATATTAAGTATTAATATATAGACTTCTTTAAACTACTTCTTTTTTTTTAAAGTAGTAGCTTACTTTATTAGTAAGTGTACTTTAGCTTATTTTTAGTGTCTTAGTAGTAAAAATTAAAATAACATAACTAACATTTTTATATTAAATGCTAACTTTCTATAGAGAGACTTTTTTATTAGCTTTTATAATTTTTTTAGTAATTATATAGGGCTAAACTAAGCGTAGGCTATTATCTAGATTATTAAGGACTATAATATTATGTTAAAATTCTTATGTTTTATTACTAATAACATGTTAAATAATAATAACTTTATAATTTTATTTCTAAAGGAACATCTTAGCATAGACTTTAATAGGCAGCACTGCCTACGCTGCGCTAGTTATACTATATAATTAGTAGTAAAAGCTGTTAATTATAGTAAAGAATTAAGCTAATTTAAATCTGCCTTAGCCTAGGCTGCTTTTTAAAAGTAGTTTAACTTATACTAAAAGCATAAAGTTATAGAAAAACTTTATAATTTTATTAATATAATCTTCTTCTTCTATAAGCGCTGTAAAGCCTTTAAGGTAGTTTAATAATTTATATCTAATAAAGACCCTTTTTAGAGCTTTAGCACTTTGAACTTAGTATAAGATAAAGGTGTCTGCTAGCATTCTATCTATTTTATAGTCCTCTGTTGTTTAGAGCTTAAGAATGCTATTATAAAGTTTATTTATAAATAGTAAAGCACTAAGAATAATAAAGATAATGTTTATATACCTAGTAACACAGCTTTATTAGATATAATTACTAAAAAAAAAGTAAAAGTAAGCTAAGCATTTTATAAAGTTTCTTAAAGTTTTTTATTAAATAATAAAAAGACTAAAAGAAAACACAGAGTAAAGTTTACTATAAATATTTATTATTAACATGTAATTACTTTACACTAAGCTATTATAAATAAAGGCAACACTAGAGCCTAAAGTTAATAGCTACTTTAAAAGTAGTGTTTTATATAGACTAGAAAAGCTTTTTATATACTAAAAAAAGTTTATTATAAATCTTTTAGTTTTTTATTATATAGTTGCAACTATTCTTTACTTAAGACTTTATCTTTATTAGTTTAAAAACTATTAAAGGCATTATAGCTTATAGCATAAAAAAGTAAAAGCTTTAATGCTTAAAGTCTTCTAGAAGTACATAGATGCTAAAAAAAAAAGAAGAATAAGCCTAATAAGCTACTATAATGTAAATAACTTTTATCTAGCAGTGCTTATAACTTTTACTATAAATAGACTTTTTTAGTTAACATAACTTTACTTACTAGAAAAAAGTTTTATAAAAAGGCTAAGAAAACTTTAAAGCTTACTTTATACTATAACAACTTTTTAGACAACCTTATTATAGCAAAAAATAACAGTCCCTTGTATAAGGAACCTTTAGATTAGTAGCTCTAGGTTAGTTAGCGTAACTATCCTGTACTCTTTAAGATAGCACTTAATTTTCTATGTATACCCTCTACAAGCTGCAACTGCAAGAGAGCTTTTAGCAGGGGGAAAAAAACAGTTACTTATAACTATAATTATCTCTTAGGCTTTATAATTAAAGCTTTACAACTCTAAAAGAACTAGCTATGTTATAAAGTTATTTTTAGTAAATTAAATAACCTTACATGCTATATTAAGAGTAAGAGAGACCTTACTACTTTAAAAGCTTTAATAGTTATGTTGTAACTTTTAGTAAAAAGTTAAGAAGTACAAGCAGCTTTAATTAAACTGTAACTTAATTATATTAACCCCTACTATTAAGTAAAGTAAACAAAAGTATATAATAAGTGAGACGTAACTTGTCTAGAAAGCCTGAGTCAAACCGTACTACTTCCTGATGGAAATCCCGTGTATACCCGGACCAGGCACGACTCGTTCTCGCATACGTTGTAGAAGCGTATGCCGAGCTTGGGTGGGACGTTAATAGACTAGAGCCAGGCGATGCTGTCCCTGAAATTCAGGCGTTACTCATGCACAGACAGCTCGTACGTCAGTTCTACTGTGTCCTGGAGGACGGTAACCTCATTGAAGCGACCAAAGATGGCTTTGTTCGGACAAGCACCCCAGTTGATACGACGCCTGCGGATGAAATCTTCGAGAAAATATATGCGCTGTATCCCCGACATGCCAGTGTACACAAACTTATCAAGGTGGTTGGATCGGAAATGGCTGCATGCCTTCGAGGTGACAAGAATGGACTGCAACTAGTTTTTGGTAACAAGGAAAATAAGCGTACTCTGGAGGACATATACGAGAATTGGCCATTACTCCGGACGCCTACGATTCTGCTTGGGGACTTCCTGTTGAAGGCATTTAAAAATTGCAGCGGAAGTGGAGAGTTCCGCATTCTCGAAGTTGGAGCAGGTACAGGGGGAACAACGCGATACATTGTTGACCATCTCCGACATCACGGGATCCCTTTCGAATACAATTTTACCGACATATCTGCTTCTCCGGTTGCTGCTGCGAGGAAATCATTTGCGGGAATTGATTGCATGTCGTTCGAGGTCCTGGATATTGAAAAGCGGCCTGTAAAAGAGCGCGAAGAATATTTTCACGTTATCATCGCCACAAATTGCATCCATGCAACACGAAACCTTGAAGTGTCGCTATTAAACGTCCGCAAAATGATTCACAAGGACAGGGTGCTGTCTCTGATTAAGATGACGAGGAACATGTCTTTTTTTTTTTAAAACTATTTAGGTTTTAAAGTTGTAACACTTATTTTTTTTCTTTATATTACTTAGCATATCTTTTGTTATAAGTAAGTGCCTTTTTAATGTATTCTTTAAAGCTCTTAGGCTTTTTTATGTAGGTAAATTTATTTTTTAATTACTTTTAAAAGCTTATGGTAAAACATTTATCTTATTACTTTTTAATCTGTCTATTTGCAGATAGCTAGTTATTCTCTAAAGCAGGCTGCGTATTATTAGATAACGCTTTTTTCTTGTTATAAAAAGTTTATTTTATTAACTACTTATTTCTTCTAGTTAACTAACCTATAAATAGTAGTTAGGGCTAATTTAAAGAAATTAATGTCTTTAAAGACTTTTTATGTTTCTAGTAGTAAGGGTTCCCTATTTATTTAATAGTTTATCTAGTTGTTAGCATAAAGCTAGAACTATATAGTAAGTAATTTTTTTAAGTGTAGGCCTATTTATAAAATTATTTCTTTATTTATTTTAAAAGCACTTTTATTATATTACATGTAGAGATAGCACTTTGTAAAGAAAAGTTTTAAGTTTTTAGCAAAGCTATTAAACACTTTAGGGGAAGCTAGGTCTAAGGTCTTTTTTAACTTAATACTAGTTTTTTTATGTAATATTTTTAAAGTTAGCTACTTCTAGCTAAAGGGCTTATAATTATTAAATATTTAAAGGCCCTTATTATGCTTGTTGCTAGAGGTGTTGCCTAAGTTATTCTAGCTTATTATAAAGATACAGTATTTATTAATTTTGCGCCTTTTTAGTAGCTGTAGGGGTCTAGCTAGTGCTAGTAGCTAAAGCGCCTGTTATGCTAATATCTAAGGTTAAAGTAGCTATACTTTATAGGTAGTAGTAATTACTGTTATAATTTTTACTTTAATAAAATAGTATTTTTAGGAGCACTACACCCTATAGTTATACTAGGGGAGAAGGAGAAGGACTTAGCTAGATTAGGTGTACAGTCTGTCTAGCAGAGTGTGGGTAAGGCAGGAATAAAGAAGGCAGGTTGTGGTTTAACCTAGCAGCTGTATAAGAAGCTAGTAAACTAATCTAAAAGGATAAAATAGAAGGTATATATAGTGCAAGATATACAAGGCAGCAATGTCCTCTTTATAAAGGTATTAATGCCTCTTAGTTTATTATGTATAAAAAAACTAAATAGTAATTATAGCTTACTAACTATAGTTATAATTAAAACTATATACATAAGGTTTACATGCAGTGCATGTTGTGCATGCTTACATGTTTATTGCCTGCATAACCTGCATAACCTGTAAACCTGCAATGCTTATGGCTTTATTAGATAACATATTCTGCTAGGCTTTTGTCTAAAAGCTAGAGCTATTTCTTATTTGTCCTGTTACATAATCTGTCTAATACAGGGTTAAGTGTCCTCCACCCAATGTCGCTTGAACTGTGAGGAACAGCTGATTGGAGAATTACGGTCGGTTCGTTGGCCGTAACAGTTATCCCTAAGAAGAAAGCAGAATGCAAGAGGCTAACAGTATAGTGTACAGTCCTACGTAATAGCTAATAGGCTAATAAAGCAAGATAGAGCAACTAGATTATAGTTTATCTGTGTAACAGCAGTATAAAGGCTGGGTTAAACAGTCTTGTTAGATAGAATTAAAAGTATATATGTTACAAGATATATAAATAGTATTATAGCTCTTTAGAAAGCTAGAATGCTACTTAGTTTATGTAAAAAAAATAAACTAAATATTAAACCCACTTTTTAAAGATTGTTTAAGGTTAGAACTATTTACATGTCTAGTAGTGCTAAAAACAAGTTGCTTAAGTTTAAGTAAGCTTGCTATACTGTAAACTTGTTTAACTTGCTCTAACTTATTCCTCCTCTTAGCTTCTCTTCCTACTAGATGATGCATTCTTCCATGACCCTAGGCAGCTGCGCTGCTTCCGCGTCTTCTAATTGGTCTGTAAACAAGCTCTGTCCCAACCTGGCTAGATTGTGGAGCACTTCGGGTGGAGTTACGTCGGTCCAACTATAGACCGTAACACCTTTTAACAGCATATTACCTATATACTAACAGATAAACAGAAAGAGCTAACTAAACACTAGAATAATACCTAAGAAAGTATGTATTCTTTAACTAGAATAACTAGGCATGTTAGCTACCCTTTACTTAGCTAGCTTTAAACACTGCTAAATTAGCAATAACTAAACAAACTCTATATATAGCTAATTTTAGCTATTCTCTACACTTCTGTATATAAGAAACTTAACCTTAAAACTTTTAAAAAGCTAAAGAAAGAATTACAAAGATTTAAAACTTACACTAAAAGTTAGCTTAATAGGCATAGATAAGCTAAAAATAAATAATAAAATAAGCTAACTAATAAAGAATAAAAGAACTAGATATTTAGCTAAAAGACTAAGTCTACCTAGATACTAAGAACTTAGAAAGATAAAGACTACTAAGAAAACTAGTAGAAAAATAAATTAGCCTATATAAAGTTATCGCTATGTAAAGATTTAACTTCTACTTACAACTCCCTCTAATTATAAAGATAATCTTAAAGTTCTATATATCTAAATTAGAAAAAGCATTAGATAAAATACTTCTAGTAATAACTAGTTAAAACGTAACTAGTAAAACTAAGTATAAAGTAGAGCGCCTTCTATAGTTAAAAAACAACAGAACATAGTTTCTAGCAAAATAAAAGAAATAGCTTACTAGCAAAAACACCTAAGAACTTATTAAAAACATAAAGAATGCTCTAGAAGCACCAAGTTGCTTTTAAAAGGCTTAGATAGTAAGAACTAGCTAAGTAAAAGGTTGCTAAAGCTAGCAATTAAAGACTTGCCTAAAGGAACATTACATAGCTGTGATGTAGGATAACGCGACCCTAGCAACGTAGGCTAAGAAGAAAGAAGGCTAGCAGCCTTTACCTTTAAGACCTTAATCTTATGTAATAATACTAAGTTTTTTTTTAATATATTTAGCTTGTTAATTCTAGAGCAGACAAAGCTGCTTTTCTAGGTAAAGCTTCTTAGCTAATGCTTTTACTATCTTCTAAGTAGCAGTAGTTTTTTACTCTTTTATTACTACTTTTTTAGCTTTAGTAAGAGCTTTTTACTTAAGAGCTACAACTTAAGCCTTCTAAGCATGCTTTATCTCTTAGAGAACTTTTACACAGTTACGCTATCATCTCTTCTAAGCCTAGTTAGCAATAAAAGTGTTATAGTAACTCTCTTTTTATAAGCACTCTATGCACTTGTTAGACAAGATAGTTAACACGTAATTAAAAGAAAAAAAATAGTATAGTTATAACAAGACTAAGGCAAGTAGTAATGCATTATTAGAGAAAAAACTGTTAAAAGACATAAGTAGGCACTTACAAGTTATAACCTTTTTCTAACACTTACAGCAGTGTAGATAGGGTGGTAAGGACGCTGCTAGAGAGAAAAGGCTGTATGTTTCAATCCCTAAGTAGACTGTAAGCAAGTGTTAAGCAGCTACTAGTTTAGATAACAACTAGTAGTAACGTACTTCACAGGCGAGTTGCTGACACACCTAAGTCGCTTACTTTTGCTAAGACCCTACCCTAACAAACTCTATTATAGCCTATAACAACCTGCTCTAGCACTATATAGTACAGTACAGCCTAGAATATTATTTAGATACTACTTCTACTTCTTACTTACACATTTATGTGTTATGCCTAGTCTAATTGTACTATTTGCAGCGCCTTTAGAATAGCTTACCTACTTTAGCTTACACCTACTTCTTTACTTTTTTTCTGTTACTGTGCGCTTTAAACTTCTTTAAAGCTATTAAGCATAGGCCTTTTTAAATTATTAAAGTTTTTTTTACTTTAATTTACTTTTTTTTATGTAATTTATGTTATATAGCAGCCTTATTAGCTACTTAAAGCTTAGTAATTTTCTATTACACTAACACTAGCTTATACATAATTATTACTGCTTTTTTTAAGACCTTTTTAAACACTTTAACTATAAAAGTTAGTAAACTATTTATATGCTTTTAAATTTTTATTTTTATAAGTATTAATTATAACTTAAGTTTTAAAGTATTACTTAAGGTTTACAACTACTAAAGCTTATTATATATAAGTAGTAGTAGTAATAAAGTGTATAACTTTATATTAAGGCTTATTATAACTTATTATAGGTTAAAAGAAACTAATCTAGCGCTTTAAACCTTTTTTTAAATGTTACTAAAAGTAATTATAGCATTATAAACTACTTTAAAGTATAGTAAAAACTTTATTTTTATAATATAAGTAATTTAGTTATATATAAGGTTTTTAGCTTAGCACTTATATGCTTTTTTTAAAAAAGTAAAATAACTTATATTAAGTAGCTATAAAAAGTGTAATAAGTAAAAAAGAATATAAATAGTAATAATTTTATTATCTTTATAGTATTACTAGAAATAAAGTAAGTTATAGCTTTTATAGCTATTAATAACTAGTAAATAGTAGCTACTAATAGTACACTTTTTTATATACACATTAAAGTGCTTTAACTAGTCTAAACTAAGCTAATTAGTAGTCTAGCTGCGCTTAAAGATTATAATAACTTAATTCTAAAGTAGATTTTTTTTCTTATACTAGTTTAAAAAGTAGTTAACGTACCTAACAGGTTAGCCAGCCACACAGGTTAGCCGGCCACTTTTGCCAAGCCCCTACTAAACTCTACCTATCTACATAATGCCTTAACAACAACACTAGATTAAATCTTCTAAAGAACATTAAATACAGCTTACTTTTTAGGCTTTTAAATAAGACTTAAAACTCTTCTTGTAACACGCTATAGCTATCTATAATGTCTTTTACACAACACTAAGTAATTAACGCGCTAGACAGCCTTTACAAGCAGAATGCTAGCCTAAATTAAGGAATCTAACTAAGCTTAAAAAGAAAGTAGTTGTTAAGTATATACTTAAGCTTATTACACATAGATTTCCCTCTAGGCTTACAGCTATAGCTAATATAGCTAATTC